TTACTGTTCTAGTTGTAAGGATTTTTGTTTTATTTACATTGAGGTGCAACCCATACTGAAGTCTTTGATCTTCATCAGTAAGCACTTCGAGTCCTCTTCACTTCAAGCAAGCAAGGTTGTGTCATCCGCATATCGCAGGTTGTTAGGTTGTTAATGAGACTTCCTCCAATCCTGATGCCATATTTTTCTTCATACAATTTAGCTTCTTGGATTATTTGTTCAGCATACAGACTGAGTAAATATGGTGAAAGAATACAACCTTCACACATATCTTTCCTGATTTAAAACCTTTTAGTATTCCCTTATTCTGTTTGAACGGCTCTTGGTCTATGTACATGTTCTACATGAGCACAATTAAGTGGTTTGGAATTTCCACTCATTGCAACGTTACCCATAATTTGTTATACAAATACTTTGTATAGTCAATAAAAACACAGGTATTTTCTACTTTCAGTCAAGATCCATTAGTCAGCAATAATACCCCTTCACTTCTCTTCTGAATCTGGCTTGAATTTTTGGCAGTTCCCTGTCCGTATACTGTTGTAAATCTTTTTAAAATTATCTTATGCAAAGATTTAGTTGCATGTGATATTAACGATAAAACAAAGCTCCCCAAACCCCCCACTGTCATTGAGTCGATTCAGACTCATAGCAACCCTACAGGACACAGCAGAACTGTTCCATAGAGTTTCTGAAGGTTCTGTAAATCTTTACGAATGTGGACTGCTTCACCTTTCTCCCATGGAGTGTCAGGTTAGTTTGAACTGTCGACCTTCAGGTTAAGAGCCCAATGCTTAACCTACTGTGTCACCAGGACACTGTTTTTCTTTTAAAGTTCTTATTGTAAATTGAGTGAAAGTTTACATGGGAGAACATCGATTTTACACTTTTCCTACCGTATTTCGTTTCATTGCAATGATTACAATCCCTTCCATGCATCACCGTTTTTTTTTTTTTTTTTTGGTTGTATACAAAAACACTCAGGAATATATAATAATTTAAACAAGCAAAGAGCACACTCTGCAGGCCTGCCTCTTGACTGCCAGCCAGCACAGTCTTTCTCTTTCCATGAGTCTAGACAGTCTAGATAGAGCTGCTCCCTCTCTCCATATCCTCATTTCTGCCTCCATCTCTGGTGTCATTGTTTCTCTGGATAGGGTCCCACATTCCGCTCATGGTCTTCTCCCTTGATGGTCCTAGGGTCCTCTGTTTCTGGAGTATAAGATTAACTACTCCTCTCTTTTTTAAAAAACTTCTACCTTTACAGTTGTGGCAGTTGCAATTAGTCATAATAACAATTAGTCACTGTTGAATCATAAGAATCTTATCCCCATCATCTCCTTTCACCAGACAGGGTACCTTGTATATTGATAATATTGTTTGATAATTTCTGCATTCTATTGGATTATCTTTCTTTGGAATGGACACAAATATTGATTTCTTTCAGTTAGCTGTCTCCCAAATTTCTTGGCATAGATTAATGATTGCTCCACTGCTGCATCCATTAATGAAATAGTTCATCTGGTATTATTAATTCTTGAAGTCTGTTTTCCTTCAGTTCCTTCAGTGATGCTTGGATCTCTCCCTCAATACCTTAGGTTCTTAATCATATGCTATCTTTCTTGAAATGGTTAAAATTTGAACAATTCTTTTTGATATAGTGACTCTGTGTAATTCTTCCATCTTCTCTGGATGCTTCCTGAGTCATTCAATATTTTGCCCATAGATTCTTCAGTGTTGCAAACTTAATTAAGGCTTGACTTTTTCTTTATTTTTTTTCAGCTTGAGAAATGCCATGTGTGTTCTTCTCTCTTGGTTTTCTAACTGTAGGTCTTTTTCACATTTCATTATAATGCTTTGGTTTATTTACTCTAGCCGCCCTTGGAACTGTACTGCTCAGCTTTTAGTTTATCATTTCTTCTGTTCATTTTAGCTTCTCTACATTTGAGAGCAAGTTTCAGAGTCTCATCTGACATCTATTCTTGTTTTTTCTTTCTTTCCTCTCTTTTTACCACTGTTTGCTGTTGCAGGACAACTAATTATTTATTATGGCCCTTCTAGCCATAAGGAGCTCTGATAGTGTAAAGGATACAAATTGGGTTGCTAATTGCAAGGTCAGTGGTTAGAAACTACCAGCTGTTCTGTGGGAGAAAGATGAGGTTTTCTGCTTTCCTATTTACAGCCTCAGAAACCCTATGAGTTGGAACTGACGCCACAGCACACCACCACCACCAGCCAAATTTTTCCATTCTATGATGCATTGTAAATCTTCGTCTGTGATTCCTGGTGTGACTTGGTACGATCAGCACTGAACTGTGAACTACAAGGTCAGCCCACTAGTTCATACCCACCAGTTGCTCCTCAGAAGCCCTATATAGACTTGCTATGAGTTGAAATTGACTGGATGACACTTAACAAAAACAACATGCCTGTGATTGAGAACCCATTTTGAAGTGAGTTGTTAATGTGGCAAGATTAAGGCAGAGCTAAGGAGTCCATGGAAACAGTGAATGGTTTAAAATTAAGAAAGATGTACGACAAGGTTGTAGTCTTTCACCATACTTATTCAACCTGCATGCTGAGCAAATAATCTGAGAAGCTGGGTTATATGAAGAAAAACATGGCATCAGGATAGGAGGAAGACTTATTAACAGCCTGCAATATGCAGATGATATAACTTTGCTTGCTGAAAGTGAGAGGACTTAAAGCTTTTACTGATGAAGATCAAAGAGCACAGTCTTCAGTATGGATTACATCTCAATGTAAAGAAAACAAAACTCACCACTGGACCAATAAACAACATTCTTATCAATGGAGAAAAGATTGAAATTGTCAAGGACTTCATTCTTCTTGAATCAACTATTAACACTCACAGAAGCAGCAGTCAAGAAATCAAACGACATATTGCATTAGGCAAACCTGCTGCATAAGACCTTTTTAAAATGTTGAAGAGCAAAGACGTCAGCTTGAGGACTAAGGTGCACCTGACCCAAGCCATGGTATTTCCAATAACCTCATATTCATGCGAAAGCTGGACAGTGAATAAGGAAGACCATAGAAGAATTGATGTTTTTGAGTTGTGGTGTTGGAGGAGAATATTGAAAGTGCCATGGGCTGCCAAAAGAACCAATAGAGCCGTTTTAGAAGAAGTACAGCCAGAGTGCTCCTTGAAGGCCAAGATGGCCAAACTTTGTGTCTCATACTTTGGACATATTGTCAGGAGGGACAAGTCGCTGGAGAAGGATGTCACATTTGGTAAGGTGGAGGGTCAGAGAAAAAGAGAAAGACCCCCAATGAGATGGACTGGCCAAGTGGCAGCATTGATAGACTCAAGTGTGGCAACAGTAGTGAGGTTGGCCCAGGATCAGGCAGTGTTTCGTTCTGCTCTGCATAAGGTTGCTATTGGTTGGTATTGACTCGATGGCACCTAACAACAACAACAAGGAGTCCTGGTGTGGAACTGCAGGTTAATGTGCTGGACTGCAAAGTTGCTTTGAACTGCAAGGTCGGTGCTTCAAGCTCACCAGCTGCTCCTTAGAAACCCTATATAGGGTCGCTATGGGTCAGAATCGACTTGACGGCACTTAACAAAAACACTAACAAGGAGTAAGGATTACATTAGAACTAAGGATTAAGGACATCCCCACTTTACTTGAGGGTGTGACTCAAATCACTACACTTGGTTTCCCTTGGGCCCATGGCAAAGTTTGCTCTCTTGCCCAGGATTCTGTATCTGGATCATTTACTCTGATCTCTGGCTTGCGGTACTTTTGACCCATTATCTAACCTGACTAACTGGCTTCCAGAGTTTCAAGTAACCTGACCTGCCAATTTAGGGTTCCTACACTGAGACTACGTAGATGAGACTATTCTTCCAGATTGATCTCTGAACTACGGATTTGGGACTTGCCAGCCTCCACAATTGTGTCAGCTATTTCTGTAACAGCTGTGAGTTTTGTTAGACATTTCAGCGAGATGCAGAATCCTGGGATGTGAGTGAGTGGAAGAGTAGTGATTGATACCAAGGATTATGGTATCACATGTTGGGATATCTTTACCCTCCACCTCATAGGGACCTGCCTTGTGCTAATCTTTCTAAAAGAAATTAATCACGCAGCTTTCTTTATGTTAGATAAGTTGATGTCATCTCACAACTTAACTGGTCTTTGGCCATGAGTGTTCAATGTACCATATCCTTGAGATGGTCTCTAAATTCAAGTGGGATATACTTAAGGTTGTACTTTGGTGCTCGTGGACTTGTTTTAAATTTTTTCATCTTCAAATTGAACTTACATATGAGCAACTGATGATCTGTTCCATAGTTGGTCCCTAGCCTTGTTCTGACCGATGATATTGAACTTCTTTATAGTCTCCTTCCACTGAGGTAGTTCATTTGATTCCTGTGTATTTCATCTAATGAGGTCCACATGTATAGTCACATATAGTGCATGTTAAAAAAAATTATTTCCGGTGAATCGGTCATTGGTCTTGCAAAATTCTATCATAGGATCTATCATATCATTTCTATCACTAAGGCCATATTTTCAAACAACTTCTTGTTTCCTACCTTTTCAATCTAATCACTAGTAATTATCAATGCATCTTGAATGCATATTTGATCAATTTCATACTGCAGAAGTTGCTAAAAAAGTCTTCAATTTTTATCTTTGGCATTAGTGGCTGCTCCATTCACATCACTAAGGTCAACCCTACTTGGAGAACATAGCTCTTCCCCACTCGTATTCTTAGTGTCTTTCAATCTGAGGGGCACCACCATATCAATGTTCCACTGCTATCCATTAGGTTTTCACTGGCCAATTTTTTGTAGAAGTAGATCACCAGGCTCTTCTTCCTAGTGTGTCTTTGTCTGGAAGCTCAGCTTAAGCCTGTCTGCAAGTACTTACTTTCTTAACATTACATATTTCTTAATTTATTTTCAAATAAATATGAGATGACTTCTTATAATATTTGAAAAAAACCCACAAAAACTATATACAAACCTCTGCAGCAGCATAGCCAGGGTACACTTCAACACCAAGGGCTTCTGCTTGTTCTCCCATCCAGCTCACTAAATGTCCCAACCGGACAATGTAATTGCCATGATTGTTCATTGGAAGACCTAGAAATGTATGTTTTATTAATTTGACATCTCATTGATAAACTATCTCAAGAACATATATATTTAATTAATAGATTCTCTGGTAGCGCAGTGGTTATGAATCGGGCTGCGAGCCTCAAGGTCAGCAGTTCAAAACTACCAGCGGGTCTGTGGGAGAAAGATGAGGCGGGCGGTTCCCGTAAAGATTTACAGCCTCGGAAACCCTGGGTAGGGTCGCTATGAGTCGGAATCGACTCCACAGCACATAACAACAACAACAACAATGGTCATTAGCTGTTCTTGTTAATTACCATGAAGTCATAGCGATCCTATACAGGGTTTCCAAGGAGCAGCGGATGGGTTTGAATTGCCAACCTGTGGTTAGCAGTCCACTGCTGATCCTATAGAACCAAACCAGGGCAAAAGTTCAACTTATGTCCTCCTATTTTGTTCCTGAGTTCTAATTTATTAAATTAAAAAAAACAAAACAAAACATTAACAGAACTAAATAAAAAATTCCTGATGGGCTTACAAGGCTATATTTTAATTCTCATGGAATGAAAGACAAAAGAACTGGGTTCTATGTAGTCCTGCTTTCCCACCAGTTAGCTGTATAACTTTAGAAAAATCCTTCAAATCTCTGGGCCTCAGTTTTCTCATCAGTAAAAGGAGGGGATATGACCAGAAGAAATGTAGTTTCTTCCAGCTGTAGAACTCCATGGTTCTACGATTATTTATCCTATCTTACCTGGTAGAATTGGTACAGGAATTCTATATTTTTCTGTTAAAATTCCGAATCTGTCTTCTGTTACAGAAGTTTTAAGCGGAGCCTGGAAATAAAAGAAGGAAAATAAGAAAGCTTTTAGTTCATACTTGTCAGGGTAAATACAAATCCTAAAAATTTCCCTGTGCCTAAAAGGACTGCTGGTGTGGCACTATAGGATCAACACTGGACTTCAAACTACAATGTGGATTAAAGACCTAAATGTAAAAACCAGAAATACACAGATCATCAATGAAAAATAGGGACAAACTTAGAAGGCCTGTACATGGCATAAATACACTCGTAAACTTAACTGGAAACACACAAACATTAAAAGACCAAATAGATGACTGGGATTTCCTAAAAATTAGACACTATGTACATCAAAAGATTTTATCAAAAGAGTAAAAAGAGAACTCACGGGCTGGGAAAAAATGTTTGGCAATGACATATCAGACAAAATTTATAGAACAATTCAATGCCTAAGCAAGAAGACAAATAATCCTATTTAAAAGTTGGCAGAAGACATGAACAATCACTTAACCAAAGAAGACATTCAGGCAACCAAAAAGCATTTGAAGAAATGCTCATGAACATTAGCCATTAGAGATATGCAAATAAAAACAACAATGAGATATTATCTTAATCCAGTATTAATTAATCCAGTTCCACAAAAAACAGGAAACAACAAATGCTGGTGGGGGTGTGGAGAGACTGTAATGCTCCAACACTGCTGGTGAGACTGTAAAATGGTACAACCACTGTGGAAAATGGACTCGTGATGTGGTGTTGCAGGATCAGCACTGGACTGTGAACCACCTGGTTGGCAGTTCATACTCAGAAGCTGTTCCTTGGAAACCCTATACAGGATTGCTATGAGTCAGAACTGACCTGATGGCATTTAACAACAATTGTGGAAAATGGTATGACGCTTTCTCAAAAAGTTGGAAACAGAAATACCATATGACCCACAAATGCTTCTACTTGGTTCATATCATCAAGAAATACGAGCAGTGATAAGACATGTATGTTCAGTGCAGTACTATTCACAACAGCAAAAAAATTCTGTCAACAGAAGAATGGTTAAACAACAGAATGGTTAAACATACACACAATGGAATATTACACAACACTGAAGAATAACGAAGACTCTGGCAAAACACCTCACAATATAGATGAACCTGGAGGACATTATGAGTGAGTGAAATTAATCTCAAAAGGACAATTATTGCAAGAGACCACTGTTTGAAATGTTAAGAAAGGATTTTCTTGATAAATGAAATATTATTTGATGTTTACAGGGCAGGTAGGGATGCAGGGGGAGGAATAAAATGTAAACGGTACAGAGGCAAACACTGTTAACTGAGGATACATAGAATGGACTGCCATCATTGCAATGACATGAAGTGTGAAATTTGTTGAATGTGGGACTGATGATCTGTTCTGTAAACCTCCAGTCAATTCACAATAAAAAGTAAAACACAAAAAAAGCACAATGAAAAGCAACTCCTTTCCCTTGATTTATTTTAGTAATCTCATAGGATTAAACAAGAGGTGATTTTCAGCAATAGTATACAACTCTATTAAATATAGATAGTAAAGTTAAAAGCAATATAGAACTCTAATATGAGAACTTTTTTCTCTTTTAAAATTAAAATCATGTCAATACTAACTCAATGATACCTATTTCTGATACAATATTGAAAAGAGAAATTTAATTAGCAATAATTAAAGTATTGCTAGTTAAAGTAACTTGATATTTCAGAAATAAGAGTATAACAAAACTGTTTAGAAGTCAGTTTATGCCATATAGAAAGAACACAGAAATTTATATAATTCTATCATGGTGTGGTGCTGTGGGTTAAGGCGCTGGACTGAAAAGTTGGTTTGAGCCGTAAGGTCGGCGGTTCAAGTTCACCACTCGCTCCTCAGAAATTCCATATAGGGTCACTATAGGTTGGAACCATCAACTCAGAAGCACTTAACAACAGCAACATCTTTACACACCAGTACCTGGTGTGGTACTGTAGGACAGGCATTTGACGGCTAACCATGAGGTCAGCGGTTCAAATCCATCAGGTGTTCCCAGGAAACCCTACACAGGGTCTCTATGAGTTGGAACCGAATTGACGGTACAAAACAATAAAAAATGTACATAAAGGAGCCCTGGCAGCATAGTGGATTATGAGCTGGGCTGCTAATCTCAAGATCAGTAGCTTGAATCTACCAGTTGTAGGAGAAAGATGAGGTTTTCTTATCCTGTGAAGATTTACAGCTTTGGAAATCCCGTACAGGGTCACTATGAGTTGGAAATGACTTGGTGGCACACAACCACCACCACTATCTTTACACAGTATATTCACAGGCACTGAATACTATTTTCACTTTTTAGAGAAGGAATAGTGCATACAAGAGTGTACGATTTTAACCAAGGTCACACAAATTAGTGAGAGCAATAAAACTTCATGTTCTGTTATCTTTTGTTGTTTTCTGCCCTCATGAAACTGCAGGATAAGCAATGACTGGGAATGGTAAAGTTGGCAGTTGAAACCCATCAGCTGCTCCTTAGGAGAAGAGGAGGCTTTCTGCTTCCTGAAAGATTGACAGCCTCAGTAACCCAATAAAAGGTCACTCTGAGTCAGAATCGACTAGATGACAGTGAGTCTGGTTTGGTTATGTTTATTTCTTTAGTAAATAAGATTGTTTTCTTTGGTTTCGGGTATTGCATAGTCTCTAAATTTTTATATAAGACTCTGTTAAATAAAGATACAAACACCTACAGAACATGTTTAAAATTATTCTCGAAATAGAAAATGCTATATAATTTTTTTGGTACAAATATGTAAAGGTCTTATCAAGATAACACCTTCTGATAAATCTAGTCTATAAATACAACATTTAGAAGGCATTATATAAAAATACAGGTCAACAGTTCAAACTCATAAGCTGATATTTGGAAACTCTATACATGGTAGCTATGAGTTTGAACCGATTCGATGGCACTTAATAACAACAACAACAACATATAAAATATAAGTTAAATTTTAAAAATTTATATCTGATATGATTCAGTATTTTTTTCCCCCTTTATAAATTAAAGTAAGGAGCTCTGGTAGCATAGTGGTTACGAATCAGGCTGCAAACCTTAAGGTCAGCAGTTTGAAACTACTAGCCGCTCCGCGTGAGAAAGATGAGACTTTCTGCTCCCGTAAAGATTTACAATCTCGGGAAACCCTGTACAGGGTCGCTATGGGTCGGAACAGACTTGACAGCACTTAACAACAAAAACATAAATTAAATTAACATATACAAGGGAGCTTCAAGTTCATGGAAAATGGGATTAAAAGATAATAGAATTTTCCCACAAACTCCTTGAAGCTCCCTTATTTCTATAAGGATTCTTTAAGAGAATTGCATGAAAAGGGTTTTCTATATTCCAGTAATTTTGAAACAGATATATACAACTAAATTTAGTTTATAAAAAAAACCACATTTTAATACCCCCTTCTCCTTCCAGTCTGGGAACAATTCTTCAAAAGCACATGGATCAAGGCATGCTCCAGAGAGAGTATGGGCTCCTATCTGGGCAGCTTTCTCCACTAGACACACACGGATCTCCTTTTCTTGTTTACTAGCCAACTGCTTCAGATGAATAGCTGCAGAGAGCCCTGCAGGGCCAGCACCAACTATTACTACATCAGCTTCCTCTGCAAACCTCTCCATGTTCACTCCTGGGAGGTAGGGAAAAGAAAAAAACAAAAAATTAAGAGTCTATGATTAGCAGGACCTGATCAAATCACATTCTGTGATTATGAATACCCACTGTGCTTTTGAGCATTATTTATAGATATTATCACTGTTTTACATGGTAATTATACCACATATATTATTGTATTTGTTTGATACTTTCTTAGATTCTGTTTCAGTGAATACATTTTAATTTCCATAAACGAATATTTAACTTTGAGATTATTAAAAATTTAGCAAGTATTAATAGATTTGATAAAGCTAATGTTATTATATGCTTTTAAACAACCATGAAATATATAACATTCCCCTTCAGAAAATGCTATCTAGGAAAATCTCAAGAACTTTACACAAATTACTACTTACCTTCCCATCGCTTGTCCTTATCTCTGGGATAAATGGTATAATGCGTAGTAATGCGAGGTACAGCAGAAGTAGAAGACCATCTTGGACCACAGAGAGGTAGATAGTTTTTCTTAATTTTTAAGGCATGAAGGCACTGATGATATGCTGCAGAAAAATTATTAACATTATTATTCAGTTTTCTATTGAGAGTAAACTGAAAAAAAACAAACAAACATTCTTTTTTTAAAAAAGATAAAAACCTAGGACTGGGATTCAGATCTGGCTTCTAGTAAGTTTTTATACCTAGCCCTTAAACCATATGCCCTGGTGGCACAAAAACTAAGTGCTTGGCAGCTAACTGAAAAGTCGGCAGTTCCAATCCACCAGTGACTTTGCGGGAATAAAGGTCTGGCCATTTGCTCTGGTAAAGTTTAAAACTCAAAATTCACTACCATTGAGTATATTATGCTACCTTGAAGGATAACAAGGAAGCTTCAAGCCACTGTATAACATGGATGAACCTTGAGGACATTATGTTGAGTGAAATTAGTCAGTCTCAAAAGGAGAAATACTACATAGGACCATTATTGTAAAAGAGTGAAAAAAGAACCCACACTAAAAGGGGGGAAAAA